CAGTACACAATTTCAGATTTTCTAAGTGTTTTGAAACGAGACCCTGCGACGGTCCGTCATGCCCTTGACGGTCCGTCGTGGGGTCCGTTGCTTCTGCCAATTTTTCCAGAATTGAAGTCTGTTGCTCAAGACGACTAAACGGGTCGTTACAATAGTTGATAGTGGAGCCACAAACCATATGGTGAATGACAACTCAATTTTTAATACTGGATTAACAGTTGCTAGAACAGGAAAGGTTCAAATACCTACAGGTGAGTCAGTTATGATAACTCACTCTGGAAAGTGTCGATTAGAAGGTGGATGTGATTACTGATGTATTATGTGTGCCTGAGTTCCAGTTCAATCTGTTGTCTGTAGCTAAGTTGACAAAAGAGTTACAATGTTGTGTTTCATTTTTTCCTGATTTCTTCATTATTCAGGACCTCTTCAATGGGAAAGTGAAGGGGATTGGTGAGGAACGAGATGGTTTGTACATACTGAACACCAAAATTAAGGAGGAATCTGCAATAATAAAGTCTTTGAATGTAGCAGAATGCAAGGAAACAGCTGAATTGTGGCACAAGAGAATGGGTCATGCACCCATGTCTGTGATTAGGAGATTAGACATAGTAAAGAATAAATAAGCATTTTCTTTACAACATTGTGATATATGTCCATTCGCTAGACAAGTTAGACTTCCTTTTCCTAATAGTGACACTAGAGCATTTCATTGTTTTGATTTGATCCATATGGATGTTTGGGGACCTTACAAAGTTGCTACTCATAATAATATGAGATACTTTCTCACTTTAGTTGATGATCATTCTAGATGGACTTGGACATTCTTGATGCATCTTAAATCTGATGTTTCTACATTACTTAAAAGTTTTCTAGCCTTGATAAAAACTCAATTTGGAAGGCAAGTGAAGGTACTTAGATCTGATAATGGGGGAGAATTTTTTGATACTCAATGTAAGGAATTATTTGATCATCATGGTATTGTTCATCAAAGTTCCTGCCCACACACTCCACAACAAAATGGAGTAGTGGAAAGGAAACATAGGCATATCCTTGAAACTGCTAGAGCTATTCGATTCCAAAGTCATTTGCCTTCTAAGTTTTGGGGTGAATGTATCACAGCTGCTGTCTACATCATTAACAGAATGCCATCTACTGTTTTAGGGAATAAAACTCCTTTTTCCATGTTATATCAAGTACAGGCCAATTTATCGCACATGAGAGTCATTGGATGTTTGTGTTATGCAACAAACTTGATTAAGGGAGACAAGTTAGGAACAAGAGCCATCAAAGCTGTATTGATGGGATATGGAACTACTCAAAAAGGTTATAGGCTTTATGATCTACAGAATAAGATCTTTTTTACAAGTCGAGATGTATGTTTTCATGAGCACATATTTCCTTTTCATTCATGCACTGTGGAGGCAGATGATAATGTGATAAAGCCTATTTTTCATCCAACTAAAATTGCTGAAGAGTTTCCAATTGCAAGACTTGGAGAATGTGATACTGAGCCACTTATTGATTCAATTGAAAATGAGACAATGGTTGAAGCTGCAAGTTCTGTTGATTCAGTTGAGCAACCACCAGTAAGGAGAATATCAACAAGAATTAGTAGACCACCTATCTGGCAGAAAGATTTCATCACCAAAACATGCTCCAAGTCTGCAAGCTCTTGTTTATATCCCATTGAAGATAATGTTGCCTATGATAATCTAGTTATTCCTTATCAGAGTTTTATAGCTCAGATGTCTTTGGAGACTGAGCCACAATCTTATGCACAGGCTATTTTAGATAAAAGATGGGTTGAAGCAATGAATTCTGAAATTGAAGCTCTACAGAATAATCGGACTTGGAAAGTAGTTTCTTTGCCACCAGGTAAGAAGGCCATTGGTTGCAAGTGGGTCTTCAAGATAAAGTATAAGGCTAATGGTGATATAGAAAGGTTTAAAGCCAGATTGGTGGCAAAAGGTTACAATCAAAAGGAGGGTCTTGACTATCAAGAAACTTTTTCTCCAGTTGTAAAGATGGTGACTGTAAGATCTGTAATTTCTTTGGCTGCAGCAAATGGATGGAGCATTCAACAAATGGATGTAGATAATGCTTTTTTACATGGAGATTTACAGGAAGAAGTATATATGCAATTACCTTTGGGACTTAAAAGTGATAACAGTAAGGGATTACAAGTTTGCAGATTACTTAAATCACTTTATGGATTGAAACAAGCTTCTAGGCAATGGAATATGAAACTCACAAATGCTTTGATTAAAGCAGGTTTTCATCAAAGTCATTTGGATTATTCATTAATGACAAAAAGGACAGCAGAAGGAATTGTGATAGTGTTGATTTATGTAGATGATCTGTTGATCACAGGAAGTAGCAAAAGGTTAATAGACAATGCCAAACAGGTTCTGAAAAATAATTTCAAAATCAAAGACTTAGGAGATCTAAGATATTTCCTAGGTATAGAGTTTGAAAGGAATTCAGAAGGAATACTTATGCATCAAAGAAAATATGCCATGGAACTCATATCAGACTCTGGGATGAGTGGATCAAAACCATGTGTTACGCCAGTCGAGGTCAACCAGAAACTGACCACCTCAGAATTTGATGATCACTTCAAGCTTGATAATGGCAATGATCTGTTGGATTCAGGTGAATATCAAAGACTTGTTGGAAGATTATTGTATCTTACAATTACCAGGCCTGATATTGCCTTTGCTGTGCAAAGCCTTAGTCAGTTTATGCATGCTCCTAAGTCATCACATATGGAGGCAGCTCTTCGAGTAGTGAAATATGTAAAAACAAGCACCTGGTTTTGGTATCTTGATGTCTGCTAAACCAACTAATATTCTTCAAGGATTTTGTGATGCTGATTGGGTGTCTTGTATTAATTCAAGAAGATCCATCACAGGATACATGATTATGTTTGGTAATTCATTGATTTCTTGGAAGTCTAAGAAACAACCTACTGTGTCAAGAAGCTCAGCAGAGGCTGAGTACAGAAGTTTGGCATCTACAGTAGCTGAGGTTATTTGGTTAATTGGAATGTTCAGAGAATTAGGTGTTGAAATAGAATTGCCAGTGAAATTGCACAGTGACAGTAAGGCTGCTTTACAAATAGCAGCAAATCCCGTGTTCTACGAAAGAACAAAGCATATTGACATAGATTGTCATTTCATTAGAGAGAAGATACAAAATGGGCTTGTACATACGTTGCATTTATCTTCTGTTGAACAACCTGCAGATATACTTACCAAAGGCCTGAGCAAACTGCAACATGATCATTTAGTATCCAAGCTAGGAATGAAGAATATATTCATACCACCTAGCTTGAAGGGGGGTATTGAGCATATGGAAGCAAGTTGACGATGTGTTGATTTGTTAAGTAGTTGCAATTTGTACAGGTGTCATAGAATTAGTGGTTAGTTAGTTTAATTCTGTTAGTTAGTTAGTAGAGATTAAATCAGTTAATACTTGTATATATACATGTGTGCAATGTGAGTTCAAAACACGTTTTCAAGCAATAAGCAAAAGTTTCCAATTCTCTTTGTTTTTCAATAGATATTTTGATATAGAGAAGTACACATACTAAAACACAGCAGAGACTTGATTATTTGCAGAGTCGCAGAAAATCAATGGACTCCAGAAATCAGGATCGAAAATTGACAGTTAACTACATCAAGCACATCCACCGGGGTCATATAAAGACACAAGGAACTCAAATTAAAATATTGCAAGGATGTCAAGTAAAACATAACTATACAAAAGGCATGATCACTCAAAAACTCGCGAACTTCAGGCAAGTCGGAGAAAATAAAACACAACAAAATGAGCGAAATATATACAAATATTACTATCAAGTGATCAACATACAATCTTTTGTTTCTTTTCAAAGAGAAACACAGGCTTAGATTTTAGCTAATGTCAAGCGGAAAATGTGCCAATTCTAGTCAAGTTCAATTGCTCTGCTATTACCTAACCGCTTAATGAAACAACGCATAGGTTGATACCTAACACAAGCAGTATTCTACGAGGGGAATACACGATGACTCAAACAGTGTTATATGAATTCCCAATAAGTATCGACAACAGCGATGAAACCACAGACAGTTCAATAACATTCCACATTCAGCATGCTTAATTGAATGCTCAAAAAACAGATTTTATACATCTATATTAACAAATTCATCATAACGAACCATTTCATCGAAAATTCATCGTGAATATAAACAAAGAATACAGATTCTATGAAATTAGATCCAACTCATAAAATCTGTCAAAAAAAAACAGAGTAAAATTTACCATTTCCAAAGGATTGTAGATAGATAATTGGGGAATCACCAAGCTACAACCAAAGAAAGTGAAAATATGAGTAAGTAAACAAAGCATACAAACTTAAAGCAGATATTAACCAAAATTCTCTAAATTACAAACCCAAATTCAAAAATATCATAAAAAGAACTTGGATCAAGAGTTCAATTAACAACCCAAATTTCATAGATGATTGATTAGCAATCCACATAACACAAGATGCGTACAACTACAAGGAACTGTTTTTACACCTATCATCAAACCCTAACACAGTAAAGATATTCAAATTCTTAAGAGCTAGTGAATTTGGTAACAGCCTTTGTGCCTTCAGAGACGGCATGCTTAGCCAATTCACCAGGAAGGACCAATCGAACAGCCGTCTGAATTTCCCGAGAAGTTATAGTAGGCTTCTTGTTGTAGCGGGCAAGTCGGGAAGCTTCCTGAGCAAGTTTCTCAAAGATATCATTGATGAAACTGTTCATGATACCCATAGCTTTGCTTGAAATACCGATATCAGGATGAACCTGCTTCAGAACTTTGAAGATATAGATCTTGTAAGTCTCAACAGCCTTCTTCGACCTCTTCTTCTTCTTGTCACCGGCGGCAGCATCCTTTGGGAGCTTCTTCCCAGCCTTTGGCTTCTTCTCCGCCGGAGCTTTCTCGGCTACAGGGGTTTTCTCAGCTGGCTTCTTCTCTGCGGGCTTTTTCTCAGATTTTGGTGCCATTTTTCTCTAAATTTGTGAATGTAATTTGTGAATGTAATTTGTTGATGGAGAAATTTGGGGGTTAGGGTTTGGTTTATATAATGAGATGGAGGTGAGTTCTGATTGGCTAATGTATCGTGACGCGGATAGTGGCTTAGAACCGTTGATCTTAGTTTTTAATCAACGGCTAATAGTTGATATTGGGATTCGTGTACTTTTTCACTTTAAGGCGGTAGCTGAAAATTTTAAAAACTCGCGGGATAAATGAAATTTTAAAAAAAAATGGATTTTAACATTTAGATGTATTTGGTTTAGAGATTATCCGGTTCACTCCCTCAGCTTTTGTTTCTTTCTAAAATGATATAGAAATCAATATATAGTAATAGTATAATATAAATAGATATTTTATTTATATAAATAAAAGAAAAATTACTTGCTTTTTGATCTAATTATGTTTTACTTTCTTCGTGTTAGTTTATGTGATGTGTTTTACTTTTTGATTTATTTTAGAAAAAAATGATGTTCCATGGTGTGTTACGTGTAAGTTTTCAAAGATAAACTCTAGAGTTGAAAGGATTCGGGTTAGAGCAAGATCAAAACGAGATATTTGGAATATAAATTAAATTAAAAGTTGAGTTGGATGAAGCAGACGTGGAAGTAAGGTTGGCCACATAGACTATCTCCAAGATAATAGGGACATCTATCGATGATAATGTCATACATCGCAGTGGGACGACATGAATGAAATGTAGGTTCAACTTTAGAGTCTTATGGGATTAAAAAGTACAACATAAGCTTAAATTAAGTTATACGAAATGGTGGTTAAACTGTATATGTTATATGGGTGGAGTGTTAGTCACTCAAGCACTCACATTTTCAAAAGATGCATATTACAAATGTGAGGATGGTGAGATGGATGTAGGCAATACCAAAAGGGATAAAATTATGAATGAGGTTAACTATTAGAAGGTGAGGGTTAGTGGTGGAGCCAAAAATTTAAATTGGGGGTTCAAAATCTGTAAAGATAGACATATGAAGTAATTATAGGGCGTTCGACATATTTTATACATACCTAAATAATTATTGAAAAAATTATGCGGTTAATCAAACTTATACTTCTTACTCATCATATCTATAGTATAAGACTACTCGCGACTAACATAATACATCAATTACGTGGCCTAACTTTGAGTTTGCATAATTAGTCACGTTTGTATATGTATAATTCGCCAAAATGTACAAATTCATATATACAATTCACCTCTCTCCCGATCTCGTTCTCCTTTCTCCTCCCTCTCCCAATCTCGCTTTTCATATATACAAATGCATATGTATAATATACAATTAACCGATATACATATACAATTCAGCTTTCTCCCAGTATCTGCCCTCTCTCGCTCGCCTCTCTCCTAATCTTGCTCGCCTCTTTGTCCCAATCTCGCTTGTCATATGTACAAATACATATGTATAATATACAATTTTCTAACCGATATATACATATATAATTTATTTCTCTCCCACTCTCTGCGATCTCTCGTTCGCCTCTCTCTACGAATTGTAATTATCAAACTATGGTTATGAATGTAAATATGTTATTTTTGAGTGACTATATGTGAATTTCTTATAATTATTTTAATCATATATAAATAATATATTTTATCGTCCAAAGGGGCTCATTGGAACCAAGACCCTAAAGTGGATCTTCCACTAGTGTGAGTTACCTCATTTGTAGACAAGATTAGCAAAGTGAGACTAAGATGATTTAGATATATGTAGATGATCTGCATTGATGCCCTAGTAAATATGTGCGAGAAGCTAGTTATAGGGGGGTTTGCAAAAAGCGTAAAGATAAGCCAAAAAAGTGTCATGAAGACGTGATTATACAAGACATAATTTGATTTTATATTACCAAAGATATAATTCTAGATAAAAAATAGTGAAAGTCACATGTAAGGGTAAAAAGCTCTGTAAGAGTAAAGTGTTTTCTTACCTTAATTCAGAATCTCCCAACTCATATTTAAAGGTGTAGGTTTATGAGCGGTTGTAGTAGTATTAGTTGTGATACCTTTGTAGTTCTGTCATAAGTTGTCAATTTATGTATTTCAATCATCAAACTATTTTGTTGTTGATATTAATTCTTCTTTTAGACTTTACATTGCTATCTTATTTATTCTTATTCTATCATTTGTTTTTTTTGTTTTTTTATTTAGCTTTGATACACTTGAATTAAATTTTTTCGAAAAATAACACATCTACCTTACCTTCATATATGATAGAAAGTCTATTTACACTCTACTCTCTCCGTACTATTAGTGATGAATGAAATCAGCTTAAACAATTTTACAATTCCAGTAATATACATTTGCAATGTAAAACCATCTTATCATATATATGTGATACCAAGTAAAACCATTACAAATGCAGAAACTTGAAAAATCTATGCCGATAACTAATCATTGTTTCTTCTTTACATCACAAAACCCTAATCAAGCCCATAAACCCAACACCTAAAAACAGCAATAACAAAAAAAAGAAAGCCCTAAAATTCAAGAGCTGGTGAATTTGGTAACAGCCTTAGTACCCTCAGAAACAGCGTGTTTAGCCAATTCACCGGGAAGAACCAATCGAACAGCAGTTTGAATTTCTCGTGAAGTGATAGTAGGCTTTTTGTTATACCTAGCAAGTTTTGAAGATTCCTGAGCAAGCTTCTCGAAGATATCATTGATGAAGCTGTTCATGATCCCCATAGCTTTGCTCGAGATCCCGATATCGGGATGAACTTGCTTCAGCACCTTGAAGATGTAGATCTTGTAGGTTTCCACCGATTTCTTAGATTTCTTCTTCTTCTTGTCAGCAGCGGCGGCGGAACCACCAACGTCTTTTGGTAGCTTCTTCCCGGCCTTCGATTTTTCCACCGCCGGCGATTTTTCGGCTGCTGGCTTCTTCTCTGCCTTTGGTGCCATTTTTGAAGAGAAAATTTGTATGAAGAAACGGGGACGTAGCGATTTTGTTATATAAGATCCTTGGCGTGTTCTCATTGGTTGATTTTGGATGACGCAGATCGTGAATTTTAGCCGTTCGATGGTATGATCCATCAACGGTGTAAAATAAAGGATGAAGTGGATATAATTTAGGCATAATACAAGTGTATCTAATTAATTAATTTTATGCAAATTTAATTGTCTCCTTATAAATTATAAATACCGATAATCGATATAAGATACTTTTCTCAGGGTATATGGGGCACCTTTTACTTTTTCAATATACGTATATTATTATTTCTAGTAAAATTTCGTAAATTTTTATTCTAATATAACTAATACGAGTTTGTAAGATGGTTAAGATGTTACGAAATTTCATTCTACTATATCTAAGGTTCCATATATAAGAACAAATAGAAAAAAGCTAAAATGGTTCATTTGATTTGTATATCACTTGATTAAATATCAAATTGTAACAAATTAGTGTTGCGATGATTATTCCTTTGAAGTCAAAGTTTCCTAACAAATATTTTTAGGATATTAATATACTCTTGGTGCATTAACGAAGATTTTTATCGTAATATAATAATATACGTTATATAACAATTTGATTTTCTCCATAATAGATTTACGAAAAGTATATTATTATAGTGAATGTGATGGTATTATTATTATTATGATTATTATTATAGTAATAATGTTATATTCACTATAATAGTATATTCTTCGTAAAATTATCCGCTATAATTGTTATTTGACAAAAAATGAAAGAACTCAACTTGTTAATTGTGGCTGTGAGATAGAAGAGTCCATTGTTATACTCTTAAACAACCTTCGAAGAAAAACTATTGAATATCCTTTTGCTGAAAATTTGGACTAAATTTTTGAAGAATTTGAGCAATATATTATTATTAAAGAGACTATAATTTACAAAACAATCTACTATCATATATATATATATGTGTGTGTGTGTGTGTGAGAGTGAGTGAGTGAGTGAGAGAGAGAATTTTAATTAATTTTAAATGCACACGATTCTTAGATTTTAATTATTTATGAATTTTAATTAATTTTAAATGCACATGTCTTAGATTTTAATTATTTATCGATACAAAAATTATGAATTTATTAGTCTTTTTTATTTTAATTAGTGAAATATGAAAATCAATTGAAATTTTAAATTTAATGAGTATATTTATTTTTTTGCACATTTTGTTTATAACAACTAATAGAGATCAAAATATCAAATGTCAATATACATATTATAACACTTCACTATAGTAATTGTGAAATTTTAAGATACACATCGCCTATAATTTTTATTTTTCTTTAATAAGTTAATTCCAAATTATTCTAGTTTATCAATGATAATACATATTTATGGAATATAACCTACATCACCAAACAATTTGCCAAATACTAGATTGCCATTTTAAATTTAAACGTAGAGTCTCATTTGATTTGGAAAATTGTACATTATAAATATTTTGCCTAAATTAGTTTGGTAGTGCCTAGCTATGCCGAAAATTGTACATCATTTATTTTCAACTCTAAAGGGTCATTTCGTGTAAAGATAACAATGCAGGATTAGTAATACAGAGATAGAGATTATTAATATAAAGTGTTTGGTTTATTGTTTTTTAGTTAGTTTTGTGTGTGGGTTAAAACTCTATAAAATAATACTTTCCAATAATACCATTGAGTTATTATAAAACTATTGTATTTCATGTAATTGAATCAAAGATAGATAATTGACGAGTAATATTATTTTTTTATAACATTTTTAACTAACTAGGAGAATAAAAACTTTATTGTCATGTTCACTATTTTTTCACTTAAATTATTTGAGAGTAAATAATTGTCATCTTAATAAATTTGAGTTAATATCTCAAAAGGTCACACAACTATAATAATTTATAGAGAAAATTTATTGAACTTTGTTTTGTATCAATAAATTAAAAAAATAAAAAATAAACAATAGATATAGCAAAATTAATTAAACTATTTTTATTCTCAAGATGTTTTATTTATATATATATGCTCCTGTTTTAGACTACCTGTATAATATTTAA